TTTTGTAAAGAAAACCATCAATTTGAAAGCTTCCAGAAACTAAACTGTTTCCCATCCATCAAAAATAGTAGATTATATTTTGCAAATATACTATAGAGATACGCCAAGGCTAAATAAAACACAACTGTTCCAATTTACATACTTAGCAGTGTTTGATTTAAGTGAACCTGCATTTTCTAATATTAAGGTCTCCCCTGTCTGAAACTTTATTTCTCCTTGTGCATCAAACCAGATCAAAGTGGTTGTAATCAGTATCCATATAATGTTCACTAAAGGTGCTGCAGACCTAATCAACATGAGACTAAACAAGAGTCCAGTCAGCTCCTGGCTGAGAAGGGGCATCCGGTTCTGTAAAACTACTGTCCTTTACTGATTGAAGGATGAAGGAAAGCCTCTAAACGTACCTTTTTTTGTTTGATGAAATTGTGAAAAATCGTGAAAGGTACTGCAACTTTATACTTCTGTATTTTGTGAATTGCAAAGTGTCAGGATATTTATTCTGAAAGTAAATATAGGCTTCATGCAGAAAATAGCATAACGCAGTGTGACATAATTAGTATTTGAATACAACTCTATCCATCTCCACTTCAGCAAGATGAAAGAAAAGGCAGGTCATGTATTGGTTTGCCAACATTGATTCAATTTGTTCCAGCAAATGAGATGGCTGTTTTTATCCCCCCTCCCAAAAAAAAAAAAACGTAGAATTGCTCCTGCTTGGTTTAGTTTGATTGTTAATTTTAAAGTTAACATGAAAATAATTCAGCTTCATGGTGGGAAACGGTCTTTCCCCTGGAGCTATCGGCTCTGAACAGATCCTCACTTCTTCTTGCCAAGCTGTGGACGTTCCCTGTGGGTTTCCTGTCAAGCCTTTTAGGGCACCACTGTCATTTGTCTCGGTGCTGGAGTTGCCAAACACACTGACCACGAACTAATAGGATGCATTTACGCAGCACCCATGCATATAGCTTGTAAGAAGGTTTTAATGACAGTCATCTGTTGTGGTCTCCTAGCCTTGTAGGACAGGGAATATTTTTATCACCCCAGTCAAACTCAAGCACCTCTGTTTGATTAAGAAAAGACTTCCCAGATCTTGAGTGCCGCTGCAAAATGGGGTTACAGTGGTTCGCTTGACAAAATGATGATGTGTGGTAGGAAGACTTATTAAGCAAGAATCTGGACCTATTGGCAGTGTTTTATTTTTGCTTAAGGGAGCCCACAAAAAAAAAAGCAGAAAACATGTCCTTTGTCTATCCAGGTTCATATGTATGGTTAATTTTTATAATAGGCCCTGGATAACCTTGGAAATGAGAAAATAGCAGACATGAAAAGTCAAAGCATTCCTAATTAAAATGTCTTTTTAAAAGTGCAGAACAATAAGCAGTGAAGTTCCTTTGATAGGATGTTGTCTGGGACATTTTTGTAGTTGCTAATATCGTGATTAATTCTATTTTCACCTTCTACAGGCAGGTGCTTTGTAATTTTCTTCTTGATATCCTTTTCTGGGGAGTATAATTGGTGTTTTATGGCACAGTTTCGATCTAGCTCACTCTCTGCTCAGTTAGATCAAAGGGGAGGGTGAAAGATCACCAGGGCTGTGAGATTGGGTCTGAAGAGGCTGAGATGAGGATCCTTTGCGATATCAGACACAAGGTGAAAGGTCAGAACTAACGGTTTGTTTTTTCACCTAAGGGGGAGGATATTTAAAGGCCTTGTGTATTGTAAATTCTGTCAGGTATCATTAAGCCTGCAAATATAACAGAATCTAACCAGCTTTTTAAGAATTATTTTGCAACTTTGCTGGAGGTTCTAAGTGCCCTGCTCCCCATTTTCTCTTTTATTAAACAAGTCATACATATTTCATTTTTTTCAACAAATTTGTTGAGCAATTTCCAATATGAGTACCGTTTCTCTTATTAAAAGGTTTTGACAAATAACCCCAATGACAGCTCATTCTGCTCTAATTGGAATCAGTAATATTGAGTGCAAAAATATGAAAACTTCAGCTTGTTTTTTTTTTTAAGTTTAACGATTCTAAACTGTTTCAATACTCTTTTTTAAATGGTTGAAAATCTGTGGCTTGTGTGATACTAAATAAAAAAGAAACCATCATTATAACTTGAGTTTTTTTTTTATTTTGACTGCAGTTTTAATGCTTAACTAATATCCCATTTACCTTAGAACTTTCTTTCCTGGCCTGTTCCAATTATTCCGATATGGAAGATACTTGCAATTTGACAGTTTGTTAATATTGGAGGGTGGAACGTTTTTTGATGATGTTTAGATACAAAAGATCAAAGCTTATCATAATTGCTTTGTCAAATAAAGTACTTTTTTCTAAAAGACGGGCTTCATTGTCACAAGAAGATTAACTTTCTATTTTTTTTTTAGTTTAGAACAAACTATGTTTATGACCCCTGCTTCCTCCAAGTGTTTACGCAGACAAGACTGGGCAAATAGTTGAGGTGACATATCTACATGCTCATCAGAAGGGCCTCATAATTAAAGCCCATCAATCAAAAGTTAATTTCTTTGAAAAAAAACTTATGTTTGAAACTGGCATCTGTTCTTATGCCTACAGATTCAGATACAAAACGTGGTTAATTGCAGTAAAGCCAATTTGAATACATCTGAGGTGAAGTTGGTTTTATGGTGTGTGGATATAATTTCAATCTTCATATACGAGAACCCTAGTCATAACAATGCCATTTACAATTTGGTTCAGTAAATCAAAATATTTCAACAAACGTAAAATTGGGCCCTTTAGATAATTGTTTACAAGACTTTCTCACATAATCTCTTTGTAAAAGCCTGAACTCAGTGTATGTTTTAGTTATACTGTTTAATGTTTTTGTTATATTTAATATCATTATAATGACTCTTGAAATATGTATATGCATCTGTATATACCAATCTCATAAAAGAGATTGACGTGAAAAAGATTTTAATATCACTTCATTTTTTAAATCTACTGTTTTTCCATACTTGCAAAGAGCCAGCAGCTGATTGCTCAGCCTGTCAGCTGCAGGTGTATCCCAGGGTTTCCTGCCCATCTTGCTTCAGGTTGAGTTCTGAAAGATGTCTTCAGTCTTCTAATTGAGAGGAAGTGTACACTCCATTACAAGGGCCAATAGTTTCATGGGAGTCATTGAAGTAAAATTCCAAGAAAAACCTATCCACTGTTTAATTTTTTCAAGTGGGAATTAAATACATGAGCCATTGGTTTTTAGGAGCCTATAGTTACCACTTCATTTTTGGAAGGCTTCCAGGCAGCACAGTAATTTCAACCACATAGTTTGTATATATGTAGGCATTGTGTATTTCTGTGTGTATATGTATACTGAATTATAGGACGGTGCTTAGTGAAAATAGCTTCCAAATGGTGGGGTAGCTTGATGTAGTTTCTGGTCTTGCTGGTCATTTGTTTTTTACAAGTGGAAGCAGTTTGACTGGATATATATACATACAGAGTTGAGTGAACTCCAGCTACTACCCAGAACCACTCCTCTCCTCTTGCCATTGTAACGCTTCCCTTTCTCAAACATCCTAAGGCGATCATTGTTTATCAAAGCTGCGCTCAATGTATATAAACACGTGCTTCCGATCAGCTGAAATAATGATAAGTGAAGAGTTAAACATATCGGCTCAATTTCCCGTTCAAGCAGAATTTACAGACTTCTGGAAATGCAGTGGAACTTTTCTGGCTACTTGAGATGTTAACAAAAGTTTAAAATTGTTTATTTTTGTTTTATACTTCATGCTTCCATGCCCCCCCCCCAAACGTATTAAATACCTGTGGGTTTACAAAATAAGTCTTCTGCCTTGTATCTAGTAGCTGTTTATCACAAGAGAAAATCATATTCAGTTAACTATAAATTATTTTAGATTTGAAATTATTGGCTCTGTGGGTTTTTCTTTGCAATGCTGTCCTTCAGAGTTCTAAATTATGTGTTAAGGCTATTTTGTTGCATTGGTGTGCTCTTTGAGGTTTTTAATGTGTTTTCCTCCAGTGCCCCAGGGAAAAGGAGAGGTTAGAACTTCATACGCTCTGAGTATCACATTGTTTTATTATTCTTCTGATGGCTGGTGCATAAAGTGATGAAATATTGAACTGATCATGAAATATGATGACCATTAACCTCCTTTTTCACAACTATTAAAACTCACTTTAGGCTGCTCTCAGCTGTGGTTTATTAAATTGTTTAGACTAACACCCTTTTCAATAATTGTTAATGAACTGCAGAAATACTGAGTTGCATCATGATAAATGCATTTTTCACTTTTGTTTCTGGCAACTTCTATCTTTACCAGTTGAAAGTGAACACTTGTTATAAAGACCCTGTGAAATATGCTTGAGTCCTGGATCTGATTTGCTCAGTAGCTCCATGCCTAATTGGTGATGATTGTAGCAGTTAGTGTGTGATTCAGTGCTTCACCAATGTGGAATCCAGTTCCAGTTATTGCTGATGAGCGATACGTCCTTGTTCTCCACTACCATCTTAACATCTGCAAACATGCATCTTACTTGTGACTTCATAATCAGTATTTTATCTGAAGATTTAATCTCCAGTGTGTTCATTACAAGTGTTTACTTAGTAATTTCCTTAATATAAACCATGGTATATGTATTCCATATACAATAATAATATTTAACTTTCCAAATATTTTATAAATTGAAAAGTCCTCAACTGTAAAATATGTAGAGCACTAACAAAAACAGTTCTTATTAAAAAAAATATACTTTAAAAAAAAAGTCTGAAGTCTGTTCTGCAAAGCTGTTTTAGTATTTTTAAGGGGATCTAAAGGGTTGTAGCTGACACACAACAAGCAAGATTCCCAGCACATATTTCTAACCCTTTATGACATTTTCTGGTCGTTAGTTTGTTTATTTAATTTGAATTCCAGTTTGTGAAATGTAGCATGTTTCTTTTTTACATATCCAATTGTAACGACGCTCAAAGTGCTGAGAACCCTGAATTTAATATTTTTATTTTTTCTTACAGGAATGGCAAAACTCCATCCAAAAGAATGCTGGACTGGCCTTTATTGAGCTCGTCAACGAGGGGAGGTAATTATAATTTGGGATTTCGACCTCCTGTAGTCACCTTTTCATCATTCTGTGCTCTCTGAATTTATAAGTTGCCCAAGGCCCCAAACGTTTTTACCCATATTGAATAAAAATCAATGAGTTTTGGAAAGAAGATCTGGGAGTCCAGTCTCAGAGTTCAAGGCTCCATCAATACCTGTCTGCTCCATGGGGACACTGACAGAATGACAGAGCAGGTGACAGGGCCATGATCCTTGACTCCCCATGACACTCGGGAAATCTTTAGACTTTCTTTCAATTCCCAAAATAGGACAACTCTTGATTGGTGCGGAGGAGTATATGTAAATATATGTGCATGTTTGTGTGACTAATTTGATTCTAAGGACGACTAACTGATAAAGAAATTACAGAGGTGATAAAATACCGCAGTCCTAATTCAATATCCAAAGGAAATTGCTTTTATGTTGGATTTGTGTGATTATATCTTTAAATCTCCAAATAACACTCAGATTTCTGAAATGACCACGTTGTATGTTTCACAGATATGTGTGGTCTTTTGTCGGGAAGTGTAGTTTTGTTTCTAAAATGACCGTGATTTGTGATGTTTACTGTAACGGGATCCCTGTCCCTGGTTAGAGAAAGAAAGTGAAATGCAGGAAAGCGGGGAGGCGGAGTGACGTTATTGATGGCCTGGTCTGGCAGGAGCGGCGGCCGGGGGGAGCTGGGGTTGAGCCGCTCCCCGCCCAGCTCCCCTGTGCCAGCAAGGAGAAACACCAGTGTTAGGTTACAGTGCAGAGACCTGGCCTGTTATTGTTTCACTTTGCACGGTCCTGACCTGCCTTGACCTCCGGTGGAAAGTGGCTGTTCTGGATTTGGCCCTTGATTAATGTTTCATTAGTACAGATAACACTGGGGTTTCGCACACATGTAGCGGAGTAGCCGAGGTCTTCCTGTGTCAGATACATATCATTAACAAATCAATTAGTGTTGCAGACTTGTAAGCGATTAGTACGAGGTCATCTGTTTTTTTCAATAATTTTAGTAGCTTTTAGTTATTTATCCAAAATAGTTACTGTTCAATACCTGAATTTCACACATTCTTAAATGTTTCAAACATAATTTGACAATTGTAGACATGTTTATTAAATTCCTCACTGCCAATTTTTTTTCTTGGTTGGTTTAGCCTCTTTTTAGATGTCGGAGATTCCTTTTATTATCATGTATTGAACGCGTTAGATGAAATGTTAAATGTTAAAGTATTTTCTTTGAATGTGTTCCATATAGAAATCTACAAGTCTGTAGTGTTAGGTGCAACAAACAGAAGAAGTACAAATAGGAACTACAAACAGCCATATTGCAAGGAAGTGGGACATTTCAGTTAAAAAAAAGTAATTGATCATTGTACATACGTGTTATATATACTTTTCAAAAGGAAGAGCAATCAAGTGAAAGAAAAAAAAGTTTCTAACATGAGGAAGAATTAATGGAAAGCTTAAATTAGTTAAATCAGTGGCCATAAAGAAATATTGGGAAATCGTCAGTCTCTTTGTGCCTTTCACTTACAGGAGTTTGCAGTTCTTTTGTGGTCTGCATAATAGATGTTACTTTTCTTACTGCCTTCTTCTGGTTTGTGTAAATCAGCCATGTTGCTTTCAAAAATGTAATGATGAGAACAATTTAGAAAAAAGTAAGAACAATAACCAATCAAATAGCATGATGCCAGGAATATTTTGTGTTACATGCATAAGATGGAACCCCTGGACTCATCTTTGTACTTTAGTTTATAGTTCATGCTACTTTATCTGAACCAGTATCTGAGACTGTATTTGTTCTCTAATGGGAACAGTCAAATGAACACCAGAATAAAATTACAAAAAAAAGGTACGACAAGGGGGGGAAAACGTCAAAGAATCTCAATCTCGCACCGGTTATGAGAAGGCCAGTTTTGGGAACTATAATCAGAAAAATACCATACCTTTTTAGTTAATTGACTGTTCATTTCTCTTGCAGGTTGCTGAGTCACACAATGAAAGATCACCTGGTGAGAGTGGCCAATGAGGCAGAGTTCATCCTGAGCAGACAGAGGGCTGAGGACATACACAAGCATGCCGAATTTGAGGTAGGCTCCCTCAGTTGAGAGAGAAAGGAGAGGGAACAACGGAATGGCAAGAACCCCCCGGAAAAAAATGTTTGACTGTTCTTTAAACAGGCTCCAAGGGGGGCTTATTGAACATCCCTTCAGAAAATGCTGCTTATTTTCCTTAAAGTTGGGCTTTGACCAAAGCCGTTGCCCAACTGACATTGTCTGCAGGACAGTGAACTAGTTGAGTCTAGAACTCAAATGTATCTGCAGACTTGAAATGCTTCTTTTATTATTCTGTTGTGAAAGGTCACAACCCTTTCTTTGCTTGTCTCCATTCCTGGGAGGTGCTTCCAAAGACTTTATTGGTCGTTTCCTTTAGAATAACTCTGGTTTAGTCAGAAATCCATCTCAAAGGCCACACTGGACTATTAAAATCTATTGGTGAGTTTAAGTATCTCCCTTGAGGACAGGCATGTTTTTTTGTGTTCCCTGCCTTCAAGAAATGAATTGCTTCTATCTTTAATATTATTGAAGAAAATGTGAAATTTGTAGGTGTAGATTACTCACCAAGGTGATTTATTTGGCGTACTTGACCTTGGAATTCCTGTTCTGTGTCGCCTGTTGAAATACAGGCTGGGGTTGGCAGCATGTTAGTAATCCCAGCGAACTATTAATGTTATTAAAAAATAATGAGAAATGATATCCCTTTAAATTATGGTTTGTATATCTTGAAAAGACTTTGTCTCCAGATTGTCAGCTTCTCTTACAGCTCGTCCACCAGAACTCAACTCTCTTACTAACACAAATTCATCTTTAGTTGCAAAAAATACAGTATGAATGCATGCCTTTTCTTCTAATTTCAGTGAATAGATTCCTCTCCTGTGTAGGTCTGTTGATTCTGTTCCCACTGGGGATGTACTGTATATTCCTGGTGACAGGAATATAACCAAGGCGCCTGTGCATCCGTATGTAAAGTTCAGTGTGTTCAGTCCACAAAACCAGCCAAACACTATAACTGTAGACAGAGCTGGAAGTCTGATTGAAAGAAATCTTTTTATCTAACAGGAGACTTTCACTTTGGAGCACAAAGTCTGGTTTTTCTAAGATTTAAGGTAGTGCATTTTTGAAAAAATGTACTACTAAGGATATTATGTTATGTTGTAGGATGTTATGTTTTTTAAATTAAGAAAACAGAAAAAATCATGCAGTACAATATGCAAAACTCACATTTTAATATAAAATGTCAGATGCTAAAAATATGTTGTGATCTAATGCCTAAAGCATCTGCTTATTTTTTAGTATCTGTGTGAGTTTTGCAAGACCCCATGTGTGGGAGTTTTTCATGTATTAACTGTTCTCTCTAACACCTTTAGAGAAATTTGTACTTTTTAATTTACAAGAACTAAAAAGATACCATAGCCTTTGGAGGAAATGTGCCGTTAGTAGAGTTGCAGCTTTTTGCTTCTAATAGCCAATTCACCTCTAAAATAGTCTGTTACCACTCCCTACAGAGTGTTATTGTGAGCAGTCTTGAGTGTCATTCTCTTGTTGTGTAACAGCACACAACTTTCATTGTGCCGAAGGCTCAGGCATACAGATGAAATACAAGTCTGTTCAGTTCATTGACCAATAATCATTAGAGGAGAATTGAAATGACATTTTTTTGCTCCAGATTTATGCAGAACCATCATGCACAACGTGGCATCATTGATTAGCTGAATGCTTTTTCGCTGTTGAATATGAAATTTGCTTTTTGCACGTACTGTACATGGAGGCTGGGCCTGTCATCTGAAACATTGACAAAGCAGGCAGTACAGACACATGAACACAACAGGAAATCTCCAGAAAATAGCATCTTTCACCTCTGGTTGAGTTTAGAATCTGTTTTTGTGTCATTTCTCATCTGGTTCTCTTTTTCCTAGATAAGTCATTTTCTCTCAGCTGTATCATGAAAGTAACTCCAGGTTGAATGAATGTTTTGGCTTTGGAAACAACAGTGATTAGACTTTTTTGTTAGCTTAAGTAAATGTGCACACTTCAAAAATATTTATCTCTTTTTCTTAGAATTTAAATATTTATAAACTAAAAATAATGCACTGCAAGTTGTGCAGTCATAGGTATAAAATTAAATAAGAAAGGATAGATTGTACATTGTTATTGGCATCAGAGATTAAAAACATAAGTATTTATACATATAACATACATACATAACTAAAATAATTATTAAAAAACTTTGAATGCATAGGCACTTGTGAAGACAAGCTGTGCAAGGCAAAGCTTCAGTATCCTGCAGAATAGGATGATATTGCCAGGGCACACAGACAGTAATTGCAGTGACTTAATTATTTTCATCTAGCCACATCGAACTGGCTGAAGTTTGGAAACAAATTCAAATTTTCTTTAAAATGTACTACACTTTTATGGCAATCTGGTACTGTACGATAGAGTGTCAACAAACTGCACACTGTTCAAATGATAATGAAGTATTAAAACTGAGTAGGATTTAAAACAATTTATCCGCATTTACAACTGTGAAAATTAAAAGTTTGTTTTTGTACTGTAGCTCTAAAGTGTTGCTTAAATTTGTTATATTATTGAATTGTTTTAAACCAACAATACAATGAGATGGCAATATATGAAATCTTAAATAAGCAAAATACATTAAGCAACTATTCGTATCATTTTATAAAACAGTTATTTTGCTCAGGTACTTATTTTAAACTATATCTGTGTACTGCTACTGTATTTCAGTCAAATCATTAGTTTTGTTTCAGCTACATTTTAATTCTGGCTGTCTCAGTATGCTCTGTAGAATTAAATGTAATTCTTAAACCTAATTATTATTATTATATTTGTTATTCCTCTCTTTTTAATGCCTGTTCCATGCACAAACTGTTTTGGCTTTAATCAGATACCCGCCATGGCTGGTACAAAGTATGTTTTAGAATTGAATTCCCCACTTAAATCAAGTTGCTGTGCAGTGACCTCTGTAAGAAGTAGCCCTCTGATAAGTGCACCGCTGATATTGCTGTATTGATTTTCTTCCTTTTCTGTTTTTCCTGCTCTTTGTGAGCGACTGGTTTCATTTTGCAGTACTACAATAAAAATACCAGCAAAAGAAAAATGTCCCATGGGTAAAATTGTTTTGTGGTCTTGTTTTTTATATATACAGTATATTGCATTCATGCTTGCTGAAAAAAAAAAAACTGCTACAGTATCTTTGCAAGTATATTTCAGTGTACATGTGTATGTTTTTTTTGTATGCAATAAGGAGTTACTTTTATAATACTGACTGTTTTGCAAGCTACTGACAAATATACTATACTAAAAAATACTGTTTAACACACACACATAAACATACTAATGTTTTTTTATCTTATCCAGTAAAAATATCATGTTTGTGAAATATTTCACAAAGCAAGTTTTGCAAACAGTGATTTCTTTGAGAGAATCCAAAAATGTTTGCAAGATTGTGTAAATTACATGGAACACAGTTCTATAGAAATGTTTATAGTCTATTCTATCTAATTGCATCTCTGACATAAAAATTTGTATGACTCAAAACTTCTTTCATCTTAACTGCGACAAGACTGAAGTCATGCTTATTGGCACCCCCCATCAACTTCGTAAAGCCAGTCCTGTAACCCTATCTGTAGATGGTTCTGTACTTGAGCTTCAATCTAAATTGAAAAACCTTGGGGTTATATTCAATTCTGTCTTAACATTCGACCCACATGTGCAGCATACTGTCAAAATATCTTTTTTTCACCTTAGAAATATCGCTAGACTACGCTAGTTATCACTAACTGTGGCTGAAAAGCTGATCAACACATTCGTGTTCTTTCGAATTGACTACTGTAATGCTCTACTCGCTGGGGTATCTAAATCTACTTTGAACAAACTGCAGTATGTCCAAAATTCAGCAGCCAGAAGAATCCTGACCAGGTCTAGTGCAAATGATCACATTACTCTTATCCTGGAGTCCTTGCACTGGCTTCCGGTCAAGTTCCGTGTAGACTTTAAAATCCTCATGCTCACCTTTAAGGCTCTGCATGGCTTGGAACCTCAGTACCTGTCTGAACTATTATCTCCCTACTCCCCACCCCGTAACCTTCACTCTTCTTACTGTCCCCCAAGCCCGTCTACATTGTATGGGTGACAGGGCCTTCTCCTGTTATGCCCCCAAGCTCTGGAACTCTCTCCCCAAGGATATCAGAGAGTCACCTTCTCTAAACTTTCAAATCCAGACTCAAAACCTTATTTTTTAGAAAAGCCCTTACTTTACTGGTTCTGTTCTTCACCCCTCTGCTTTTCTTAGTACCACCATCCACAGTCTCCTCTATATATTGTAATTGTGTTTTATCTTGTGTATTCTTTTTATTTATTGTTGTTGTCATTCTGTAATGCGCTTTGAGAAGCCACCTTTAAAGGTGCTATATAAAATAAAGTTTATTATTATTATTTCCTAAATGTGCTGAATCCTGTCCTAATGACAGGAAGTTGTGCTATTTTTAAAAACATCAGCCAAGGCCCAAAACACTTACCTATTTTGAGTCTATTAGAGTAAGCTCATACTTTGAAATGTTTTATAGACTTTTTGTTCTTATAATTTCATTAATGTTTCATTTAAGCTTTTTAAAAGACATTAATAGGAAGAGCCACTTGCAGAAGATTTGCAAACCTGAAAAGCAACTATCGGCATAAAATGACTATAGAAGAACCATTTATAGACTTAGGTGAAGCATCAGAGCTAAATGTGGTTGTGTGCTCTGTTAAAGTTAGTGGTACTAGGATTGAATAGTTTCCCTCCTCAACATTAGCTTGGGTAATGGAATTTGTTGTAATGCACACTTCTAAGGATGCTTTCAGTGAAATGCGAGACACTAGGAAGTGAATTATTAAATAGATAAAAATAAATTTATGTTTGCTCCTGTCAGAGTTCATATCCACAAGAAACCTTGATAGAAGACCAGAATGATTTAGACAAGTTTGCTTTAGAGATTCATAACATATGCTTGCCGGACAGAATTGAGTTA